TCCATCTGCATCCCGCCGGCGCATTGCATGCCACCACCGCCATGCCACGCCTGCTCCGACGGCGACGTTTGCGATGCCACTATTGCAACCAGCAGGCCCAGGACAGCGTCCAGCAACTGCCGCGCTCCTGGCCATGTCGGCTCTGCGGCGCTGTGAATTACCTGGATGAGGTACGTCCACCTGCCCTTCACACCCACACACACACACATGCAACAAGGACTGACCAACAAAGAACGGAGACATCACCGACCCGCCTGCAGATGCGCTGCAACCCCCACCCGCCGTGCAGTACGGACACTCGCGCTCCCCCTCGCCGCCGCCGACCATGCCGTCCCAATCGCCCTTCTGCGAGGAATGCGAGAAGAACCAGCTCATCGTCAACAGCTCGCTGGCCGAGTACCTGCCGGACCCGGATGACCCTCTTTACGACCAGTATGAGGCCAGCGCCGAGAGCTACCGCGCCGAGCTCGAGGAGCGCTATCCCCCGGTCTGTGAGCGCTGCGTGGGTCGCGTGAACGACCAGATCCGGGCTGCGGGCTACACGGCGAAGACCGACCACCTCCGGCGCGTGCTGGAACGGTCCAAGGCCGTCACGCAGCAGCAGCACACCGGCCGCGAGAGGCTTCTGCGGATAGCCATCTTCTTGGGGAGGTGGGGATATCTTGCCAGCCTGGGTGTCGGTGTCGTCTGGAACATCATGGGAGCGCGGCTGGCGCCTGGATACGCCGTTGAAGAAGTCCTTTTGTTTAGCTGGGGACTGTGTCTTCGCCAAGCTGCGAGCAGCCTCCGGATACATTCGAACTGCTTCAGCTCCCCGGACGTGTTGCAACTCGTACGGTGGTCCCTCGTTGCAGATGGCCTCACGTTCTGGTGGAACCCTCAACTTGAGCACAAACTAGATCGACCTGGTGGACGGATGCAGGGCCTCACGCTGCTCTGGCTCGCCCGACTGGCCGTTTTGGCCATGCGCATCTGGACCTACAGCTTCCACCAGCACGTCGCACTGGACAACATCGGCTACTTTTACGAGTTCCATTGCGCCGGAGTAGGATTGCTCTTCTTGTCCCCTATCTTCTCCTGGACAGCCGTCACCATCCGCCACCCAACTCCTTTCGCCACTCTGCACACGACTGCCCCTCTGGTGGCCGGCTCGCCGAAGCACCCCTCCCGAATCTCCCATCCGCCACGGCCCAACGTCGACAGCTTCGACACGATGCCCCAGTCCTTCACCCAATCCTTCTCGCAAGAAAATGCCTACCCAGACATGCCCCCCTCTCCGACCCTGACAGCCACAACAGCCAGCATCCTGGGCGACGACGAAACCGAAATCAACACCCCTTACGTCCGGAGGAAAAAGAGCCTCAACACCACCTACGACGACTCCATGGACTGGACACCTACGGTCCGTAAATTTGCCCCCAATCCCGTTCCCACAATCCCAGCTATCTTCGCCAAACCGCCTCCATCACCCAAACCCGAACCCCCAATAGCCCGCGAATCACACTCCCTCTTCTCCCGCCCAGATCCGAATCCTTTCCGCCACAAGGTCCCCGCTATGCCTGCCCCAGCCACAGGCCGCCAATTGAATCCCTGGGGGCAATCAAGCGTACAGACGCGGTCCGCCAAGCAGAAGAATTTCTTCTCACTCCAGGACGCCGAGGAACTGAAAGCGAGGGAAGACTTGAAGCGTGTGGCGCCGAAGAATGTGGTCAGGAATGAGGAGCTGTTCAAGCCGCCGCAGATGAAGTACGATAAATATCATCAGGAGAGTGAGACGGGACTGGAGGATAAGTTTAACAGCTTTTTCTTCAAGTAGAAAGGGGAAGAGTGAGACGGCATGGGATGGAGTGGCGGTTGTATTACGACATGATAGGTTAAGGCATCATATGGGATGGAGTTTTGCATTGTACATATGGTGGGTTTTTGTGATACCCCCTTTTCACTCTTTTTTGGGAGAGATTTATCTATTTGTGTATGGCGTTCAGCATGGCCAGGGGTATGGGGTTATTGTTTTACTATTGCTTGACATTCGTGGAGGAGTTTTGTTTCATCCGATAGAGAGAGAAGAGGGTGTTTTGTAGCTATTAGTACGAGAGTATCTATGTCGCAATTACCATGAACTTCTGCCTTCACGAGTACTGAGAGCACAAGTATGATAAAAGACCGCGTAACGGGGACATGAGACGGGAGTAGAAGATCACAATCAACGGCAGTGGACACGCTTGGGCGCTTGAGGTGATTGGAATGTCTACCTAACCATCCATCAAGCCAATCATGAGGTTTTCATGCCGGTCGGAGAAATACAGAAGGTTCCCCAAAGATGTTATTGTTGACTCCGTAAACCTCCCATGTGATCGATCATCCACAGAAACGTGCCCCATCCCTCGTCATGCATCCCATGGCATCGCCTGTCATGTCTTCTTGTCGTTCCTGGTGTTGATTGGACTGATTTGAATTTGTCTATGACCTGGGCTTCTCCTTCTTCTCCTTCCACAGCGCAGAGAGACCGACACCAGAGACCTTGACGACCTTGAATCGCACACCGGGAATATCACCCTTGGCCTTGCCCTTGCGACCGAATCCGGCAAGGAGCACCTCGTCGTTCTCGTCTACGAAGTTCAAGCAACCGTCATTGGGGACTAGGAGTCGTGTCAGTACTGGTCCTTGTTTCCAAAATTCCCTCTCGTCCCCTTGTCCACGCCCCATCGTCCCATCATCTCCCCACCCAGTGGAAATGTAACATACCGAAAGCGGTGACCTTCTTTCCGTTCTTGATCAACTGAACCCTGACACACTTTCGGATAGCCGAGTTGGGCTGCTTGGCCTCAACACCGACCTTCTCGAGGACTATGCCCTTGGCGTGCGAAGAGCCACCGAACGGAGACGACTTGTAGGCTGTTCCGAGAAGGCGCTTCTTGTAGTGGAGATCGGCCCATCGGCCCTCGCGGCGATGGTTTCGGAGCTTGCGGGCTGCGTTGAGTCCTCTCGGCTTGCCTACACTGACAGTGAGTATGTTGCGAATGTTGACATTGCGGGCGGGTTCGCAATGGCGGTAGAAGAGTGGGGGCGAGGGTGCATGGCGAGATTGGGGACGTGAAGCGTACCTTTACCCATGTTGGCGGTGTTGTGTGAGGATTGGGGTGGTGGTGTGGGATGGCGAGACTGGAGTTCTGCGAGGCCGTGGACGCAAAATCGACGTGCGGTGCTTAGGCGAGGCGCTACTCCCCAACCCGGTAAAGCGTCTGTGATCGATATTATCTAATCAGATCTAATCTTATCAGCGTCCCGTGCCCCCATCATCATGCCCATCCATGCGTCTCATCGCAAACTGCTCTCCTTCGAGTTACACGCCCAGACAATGGTTGTAAGGCAGACTCGCACAACACACGGCCCCAACTCGGTCCCACCGCCATGTCGACAAATAAGATCACAAAGGTGCCAACCAACACAAATCGGCTCCCTGCACCGGCGCTCTTCGTTGGACCGCCCTCCCACAATGCCTCAAACACGTCCCTGCTCCTGCCAACAACGGAGGGCAAACCTACACGGACCCCTCTGACGCGCCAACGCTCACTCCTCGCCCAGGACTCTAATAAGCGCCCCATTCCCCAATCTGCCCACCATGACATTGGCGAACCTCTCACTCTCGCATCTTCCAACCCGTCCGCGCCCTTCATGCGCCGCCAGATCCAGCAGAACCAGGCCGCAGATGCAGAAGCATCGTCACGAGCCGAAGCAATTTGGGCGGAAATGCAGAGCACGCTCGAGGAGGTAGAACTCAGCGCGATCAAGGGACCTGGCATGAATGTGTTTGGGTCGGAGCATTCGAGGGCGTTGGATGAGCTGCGGAAAGCACAGATTGATCTTGCAAAGGCATGGGCGAGGTCGGAAGCGGAGGAAGAGGGAGAAGGCCTGGAGGAGCGCAAATCTGCCCGAGTGAATACCACCGCGGATATGCTTGCGACGGATCGAACGCACAAGGGTCCTGGTCAGGACCACGATCGGAGACCGTCGGCTGTGAGTGCGATTGGGAGTACTTTTGAGCGGAGTAGGTTGGAGGAGGAGACGGAGAAGGATATTGAGCTGAGTCGGAAGAGGAGAGAGGCGAATGACAGGTACTTTGAGAAGGTGAACAAGGGCGTGCTGGAGGTGGTAAGGAAACTGGAGGATGTGGCTAGCGCGATGAAGGGCGTGGAATTGGAAAGTAAGGAGATCTGGAGGGATGGAGAGAGTTTGGGAACGGGAAGCATCACTACGGCGCCACCAAGCGTGACTTGAGGGTGGTTGGCATGGACAGTTTGACCACTACTGGTCAATGCATTAGGTTTCGACCTACGCTCATGTCTGCACTCAGACCTTGCTCTCGTAAGCCATACTCGCATTTTAGACTGAAGCCTTGCTGATTTGTTCTTCTTCTCAGGCCGTCCCACGCGCTGGGTCATTATGTTCCAATGCGCATTGAAGCATTTTTCCCACGCGAGGATTGCCACTTTATACGGCCAACACCACCATCGCTATACACCAACTTGGTTTATGAATACCAAATATATTGCACGATGAACCCCAAGTCAACATTCGAAATAGCTTCAGTAGCCCGCTCTAATAGCATCAAACCCCGGATAAGTACAAACAATACAAGTCCCATCAACCACCAAATTAGAACAACCAGTTACCATTCCCACACAATCAAACCGCCCAAGCAGTTTACCCTCCCATTTTGAAACCAAACTCTGCGAAGTCGCCGTCCAAACCCTTCTCGCACCGCTCCAGCCCGTTTAAACTCGGCATACTTTCTTTCCGTCGCTTGCTAGTCCCCTGTCACCATCTGCAAGTCCCACACCACCGCACAAAACCACTCACACAACCATAATTCACCTACCACCCTATCTACAGACAATCCCCGTGATCCCTTCTCGCCATATTCTCCCCTTTCCATTATTCTATACTGTAATCACTATTAAATGTCAAGTCACGGCCTAAAAACTTTCATATCTTCCTCTGGGCTTGTGGTTTAGTGGTATAATTTTCCCTTAGCATATTCGGAGCGTGGGAAAGGTCCTGGGTTCGATTCCCAGCAAGTCCATTTTTTGCAGAATTTGTTTCGTCGGCGTCTCTTTTTGCATGGCTTGTGGTGGAGGTGGATATGTGCCAAGACTCATTTTTGGTCGAGACAGACCCGGTGGTAAGCGAACGGCGGAACGTGTTAGAGACAGGGATATTTTCTTATGAGTATGGTATGATCATGGTTGAGGTCAGAAAATACGCCAGTGACAACGTGACTTTGTGCTTCGTCAGGCGGTAGTGCATATGCTTGTGATTGAACGGCTTGTGCACACGAGTCAAATGCTTCATACAAATTCAGGTTTGAACAAATTGTATTGATGCAGTGGGCTTTTAGCCATGTTCACCTACTATGCCTTTCCCACTTCGCCACGAATCCTGAGCTCTGTCCAGTGATCATAGCAAGTACCTATAATCCGGTCCGAGGTCGCCCAGCTCCATCTTCTCATAATCAGTCAAGCCCAGATTCGTAGGAGTCTTGTCCTTCTTCCGGTTCTGCATCTTGCACATGATGAAGTAGATCATGCAGCTCGTAGCACTCAGACACACGAAACCAATGCAAATAGCATACCCTGTGATGTATTTTGGCGCATCTTTCTTCAAGAAGGCAAACACGGCGATGATGCCACCGATGTTGCCGAAGCCGACTTGCCACGCACTACCAACAGAGCGACGATGGTGACCGCCGAGATTCATGTTGAACCAGCAGACAATGACGGGCATGGCGGTGTAGGCACCCATGGCTACGAGGAACAGAGCTGGGTACTGGATCTTGGGTCGGTTGTGGACGCTGAGGAGGATCGCGAAGCCCGTGATGCAGATGCAGATGGGGAAGATGGCGAAGAGGAAGCGATGCTTCAAGCGATCCGAAAACCAGGCAATGAGCATTGCAAAGCCAAATGCAGCGGCCCAGGGAGGGACACTGTGGAGTTGTGTTTGGATGGGGCTGTAGAGTCCGAAGGACTGGATGATACCGGGGGAGAAGTAGGCGTATCCGTATGCGGGCACAATAAGCCCCAAGTACATGAAGCCTCCAACAATGATCTTGGGGTCCTTGAACACGTTTCCGACATCTTTGGCTGACATGGGACGCTCACGGGCAGATTGTCCTTGGTCGAGTTGAAGGCGGCGGCGCACGAATGTGCGTTCATCTTCAGTGAGCCATTTGACTTCTTCGGGGAAGTTGGGAAGAAGGAAGAAGAAAAATAAGGAGACAAGCACAGTTAGGGCACCCTCAAGGATGAATATCCTGGCACTTGTTAGCATGTTATGGATGGTAAGTAGGATAGTGGGCGCCTACCATCTCCAGCCCTTGTATCCTCCAACCCCTTCCATCTTGCCAATGGCACTTGCGAGAAGGCCACCAAATGCGCCAGCGAGAGTGGTGCTGGAGAAGAAGAAGCTATATCGCTTTTGAGCTTCGTGGCGTCGGTACCACATGCCTATAAGGTAGAAGGCTGCCTTGTGTCAGTGTTACTCGAGCTTACAACGTCTACATGGCTGAGACATACCACCCGGAAACATGCCAGTCTCGAATACCCCCAAGAAGAAACGGGTGGCAAGGAGACCGGAGTAGTTCTGGACGAAACCCTGGAGCATAGTAACTGAGGAGACCAATTAGCTCCTGATTTGACATATACTCCGAGAAGATGAGAGCCATACCCATGCCAAACCCGAACATGCAGATGGAGAGCCAGATTCTAGGCCTGAATTTCTTCAAGAGGATATTCGAGGGGATTTCGAAGAGGATATAGGGCACGAAGAAGATGACAAGGGCAGTGTTGTACTTGTTGCCGTCGGTGATTTTGAGTTCTTTGGAGAGACCGAAGACATTGGCATTGGCGATATTGACACTGCACAACCACATCAGAATTCCGAAGACTATTGAGAGTGTCTTTTCCATACCGGTCGAGAAACGCCAGGAGGTACATGATGCAGAGAAACGGAATCACGTGAAGATCGATTCTCTGCACCAGTTTCGCCTCCGTCGTATGCGCGGGGCACTCAACTGGAAGGCCATCCTCGTAGGGACCGTCTGACGCTCCTGGGCCGTCACTGTCCTGGGCAGCAGTGTTCTCTAGGAGCAATCAGTACGGAGGGCAAGATCTCCGAATGTGCCTAAATCACTCACTCTCGTTGCTGCTGAACATCCTAGAGGCAATATCAGCCGAACTGATTTTGACTTCACCTATTGGAGTGTGGTGTTGATGCCTAGGTCGTAGGTCCAGTAGCATACCATCAAGGGCAGGAAAAATATTTAAACAGCTAGATATCGCCACGTGGGTAATGACTGCGGTGGGTTTCCGCTCGCGCCATGGTGGGAGCTGCTATAGTCTCTCACCATGAGCCAACCATCGCCCACTGACAGGCAAACTACGATTTTGCGCCGAGGTCGCACCTCGAATTTCTGCTCTCCCCGCATTTAAGGACCGCAGCGGCTGCCCTTGGAGGATTAGGGTGTCATTATTCTTTTCCGCTCTAGTCCAGATGCCTTGCGCTAGAACCTGAGCGGCAGTTGCCAGTCTTCAAACGGCGTTGGATGCGGACGTCATGGGGAGAAGCCCTAGGGATTGCTGTTGGCGCCAGAGGCGAGAGCGGAAAGACGACGCTGACTTGCTACATTGGCGCGGCGAGCCCCTGCAGAGCGGCATATGTGTTGAAGTGCACGGGTGTCATCTCGAGGAGACAGGCAGCAGGACTTAGTCGGTATGGTTCGGACCCAATGGCTCTGCCAGGGTTTTTCACTGTGGGGATAATCGTGCAGATCAGATCGACGGCTGTGGCGCATGCAAGTCCATTGCTCGGCGCTTGTGACGCATCTGCAGAACGCCTCCCTCGCGGAATGGGAGTCGTAAACCGGTTTGTCCATGTGCAGATGGCGATCCAGGAATGAATTGCCCATCCAGCATATGCCCGCCATGTTCCCCGAACGTGCCCCGTCGGCTAATTGTCACAATGGCCATGCCTGCCATCCATGGATCTGCCGAAAAGGAACATTTTGAGCTTAGTCACAATGGCCCGTCCAATCCGGGTCAGGCGGCGCTCGAGGCTTCAGTTCCGGCCCAAATCTCAAAACCAACCTCACCTTTCCTCCACTTCTTCCAACATCTCTTCCGCCCACACCACACGCCCCTAGACCGCTGCGAATGACTCCTGTGGTGCAGTCTCTCTACGCGCTCTTCCTTTGTGGTTCGTTTGTTCTTCAGCAGCTGGTTTGCTGACACGCAATGGTGAACTCTAAAAATGTCGCTTTCAAGGTCGACAGACAGGTGCCGACCAGCGGCCCGCCGCCTCTGCCCTTTTCCACGGTGATTAACTGTCGGAAGCCTGGTGGGCGCCGGGCTGCCAAAAAGTCACACGAGGTCGAATCGCACCAGGTCCCGTTGGCGAGCATTTCCAGCACCCCGCCCCAGGCATTGAAGCGGAAAAGAGGCCTCGACAATGTGACCGCCGCCGACGAACTCTCCAAGAAGCTTCTCCTACTTCGCGATGGCTCACATGCAGCCCCTAATGGTACCACGTCTGGCCTTTCCGAAAGCGGCGACTCCCTTCCTGCAATCAGATCGAAGGTTGTTCCGAAGCCCCGGGCGCGTCGGGGGAAGACTTTCACCAAGGACGTCGACTTAGATTGCTGGTTCACCATCTTCACCTTCTCGGATCCGGCGCAGCTTCTGGAAATGCGTCACAAGATCTCGCTCTGTTTCCGCTTCCTTCGGGACAACCCTACGCTATGGAAGCATAGTCGGACTTACTATTATGGCTCCGATATACCGGATCCCCCTTCAGAGCTCACCGAATTCCAGTATGCTCACCTACGGCATGGACATGGCTGTATGAGCTGTGGTGCTGTCAATACGCGCAAGACCTACTGGGCATTCTTGCGTCGATGGTGCAAGCCTTGCTTTCTCTCCAAGACCCTAAAGGAGCCAGAAGTAGTGGAGCTTCTCAAAGACGACGATGGCGAAAACATCTCATTTCTTCGGAAATGTCTTCCCGCTGGCGTTGTTGACTCATGGGGTAACTTCGTTGGCGCCGGGCCCGCCCACACGCAATCTCTCAAGGCTGTTTATCTGAGATCCGATGTTGAGGAGCTTGTTGCAGAGTTTATTCGTGAAAGTCGAGACAACTATGTCTCGTGGCATGCCGAAATGCGCACCTGGATGAACAACAAGGCCGCGGTTATGGAAGAACGCCGCGCCTTCGCTCGCAAGATGGAGCTATGGGAAGATGTGACGCGGACCTCCAAGTCTCATGATTACCAAGGCAAGAAGGATGCTCGAAAGGCCTACTATATCGAGATGGCTGCAAAGCTCAGTCCGCCCATCAGTGCACTGGAACTGTCGTACTGTGGTTCTTATCGACGCGCCATCGCCATACCAAAGGACCCCAACATGATCTCGTGGCAACAACTGAGACCAAAGTTGGAGACCGAGGTTGGTGAGCTCAGAGCTAGCGGGACCCGCCTCGAGGATCTGCCACCCATACATTCGACTTCTGGCACCGCTACACCCGACACTTCTATACCGAATGCCCCAGTCATTCCAATGTTGCCATTACCAAACCCGACGACGGCGCCAATTATGTTTTAATTTCCGCCCGTACATACGTTACGATTCGTTCCTCCCACATACTAGATGCATTTTTTTGTGGTAGCCATATGCGGCTATGTCACGTACATTCTTTCGGGTCATGCTTTTAACACAATTCTCAGTTATTATTTGATGAAACTAATGTAGTCGGTGGTGTCAGGGGTTTGCTTTCAGTTTTCTTTTTGTTTCTATTGCATGGACATGGTCGCTCAGTAAATGGTTGCATTCACGGTTTGGTTCGGCTGCTGGTTAAGGATATTGGTTATGAAAATAGGATGGGGTTCGCCCGCAACGGCCATAGATACACGCTGTTACTAAATAGACATTCATCTTGTAAATTCATAATAGTGTGTAAACTGGAGTATCGAACTCCTCAAATGCGTGGGAAGATATCAATGTCTACACTCAGTGACCAAGGACCCCGTTTGGTGAC